ATGTCTACCCCCTCCACATCCACACACATCCTCACACACCCAACTTCCCACACAGAGACACACCTCCCTCACACACACACACACACACAATTACCCCGCAAACACACTCCCGCCATCCTTCACAGGATGTGCCCTTCACTCCCCGCCAGGGCTCTTCAGCACGAGGCTGGGTGCTACCCACAGAGCTGCCCCGAGTTCACTGTTCTGAGCGGTTCCTCAGGTCGAAAAACCCTGTGTGGCTCCTGGGGTTCAGAAATTCTGCTCTGGGAATTGGGGTGCTGCAGGTTCCCCCCTGAGCCCATGGAGGAAGGGACGCGGCCACTCGGGACTCCAAGGATTCCAGACCTGTGCCTTCCCACCACCCTCTTTTCAGGGTGGGGGGCCCTTGACGAGTGAGCACGGGTGGGGGCTGGCAACTTCATGAATAAAGGGCTGGAGAGTGGCTCTTCCTTTTCTTTTCTGGACTGCTCCAAAAATACACTCCCCATCCCTCCTCCCTTCAGCCTCCAGGAAGCTTCCTGCCTGCGGCATCCATTGTCTGCATGTGGGCAGACTTCCCCCTGGACCGGGCAGGACCTTTCCCGGTTACACCTAGCCCTGCCAGACGAGGGTTTCCGAAGCCCCTTCTCTTATCTCCCGGGAGAACTGGTCTCACGGTGGCCTGTTTCCCATCTCAGAAAACCTCTGCGCCTACCAGAAGTGGTCTTGGAGGCTTTGGCTAGGTAGCTCGTCTTTTCTCTAGAGGCGCCAGGGCACATTTCTGGTCCCCACTGACATTTAGAAAATCTAAACATCCATAAATGTCTCCATGGCCTTTTTAAAATTAGCAATTAGTCGCTAAAGGTCTCCGTGATTCCCACAATGTTCAGCCCTTCCTTAATTTTTTTTCCCTAAAACACATAGTTACTCTTCATTTCCCATGTTCATTTCTGGAGCAGCTTCACTTCACGGGGAAGAACGGACACGTGCTAATAGGTCTGGGGCCATTCCTTACGAGTAACAGATTTCAAATACCACAACAAGGGCAGGCAAATAGAAATTTACTGAATAGCTAACATGAGCCAAGCACTTTATTTATATGATTTCATTTTAATTTTACTCTCCGAACATGCTGAAAGTGAAAGTGGTATTGCTCCCATTTTATAGGCAAGGAAACTGAGGTTCAGAAAGGTGAAGTGGCTTACCAAACGAGACTTAGCAAGTCTTGTCTGAGCTGGGATTCGAATGCCAAAGTCCATTCCCTCCCTGTCACACCAGGCTGCACCAACATGAGGATCAGGGCGCAACAACAACCTAAGCTTCCCCCGAGAGAAATCCCACAGACTCACATGGGGGATGCAGCAGGGACCATGCCACGGGAGGGACCCTGCTCAGGGCACAGCAGAGGCCAGTGGTGAGGACCAGACAGAATCTACCTTCAGATACCCCCAGGCTGCCCAACCCATAGCCAAGAGCTGCCGGACTCTGGCTCTTTACAGGAAGGAAGGAGCTTTCTCACTTGGGATCTGGAGGATCTACTGCTTTCCTCGACATCATGGGTATTGTCCCCACCACCATGGGGAAAAAGAGCCACCACTTAATGATTCCTGAATATGCCAGCACTGGGCTAAATTTCAAACATGCATCTTCTCAGCCCTGGCAATCCTACGGGGAGGGTCTGTTATAGACCTTCAGGGATGAACCCAGACTCAGGGCAGGGAGGAAGTGGCCCAAGGCCAGGCCATTAGGAAGCCTCAGTGCCCAGGTTCAGACTGAGGACAGGCTGGTTCCTGAAGATGATTCGGATTCACATCACCATTGACGGTGGTGCAGCTGATGAACCACATTTGTTCCTGCCGACCTAGCATATTTCAAAACTAAAGTTTCCAAAGGAATACATCTGATGTACGAGTCACATTTCAAGCTTTTCCCATGAAGTGAGACTTTATGAATATTTTTGTTCGCGCATGTTAGCACAGCACAGTCTCGCCCTGTACTGGTACCCAGTGTGCAGCCCCAGCAAGATCCCATGGACGAGGCTCCTGGGCCAAAGTCCTCCCATCCCACCCCTGGCACCGGGAAGATGTCCCAAAGGTAGCTCAGCTCTGAGCACTTCCAGCCGTTGCTCCGATTCAGGCCAGACCAAGGGAGACTGCTATGCCCTACTGCTGCAATTCAAATTTGCACAAATAAAATGGGCAACAGCCATAAAACAGTCCACTCTCCTGGCCTACAACTCTCCTGCCGCAGCCCTAAGAGGCAAGCTGTGGTCCTGCCACAGTCCCTCCGGTCCTCTCTCAGGGGATTCTGGCTGAGAGCACTGAGGGCAAGGCTGAAACAGCAGAGTATTTCCCTCTGGGCTGGGAGGATCATCGTGGGCTGAACCCAATCTGACCATCCCTAACAAGGAGCAGAGTGAGGCTGGTCTGTAACCACCCTCCCGTGGCCGCCGTGTGTGAGGCAAATGCCATTGGGATGTGGGCCCAGGCTGTGGGGAGCTGACTCCCCGGGCTCAGCAGGACACAGTGTGTGCCTGGCAGGGTGCCCTCCCCTTGGCCTGCCCCAGTGCCCCAGGCTCTCTTGCTGATTCCATGAGCCCAGTCTTCACTGGGCAGGGACTGTGCGTCTGGAGAGATGACAGTGCAGCTGGCCTGGCCTCTGAGAGGGTGGCCAGCAACTCCTGGCCCTCCTTCGGAGTTGGCTTCAAACTCCTTGTCTCGACCAAGGGGGAGAAAGCACATGGTAGGGCCCCTGGGCTCAGGTATGCCCTCACCCCTGACCACATGAAGTAGAGCTCAGCCTCACACAGTCCAAATGGATCTAAGGCCATGATGCATGTATGAGAAGTGACTGGCCAGTGACTGGGGACTCTTCATAAACAGACAAAGAAAAGATTTCAATGAGCAGAGCCCAACAGACGTTTTATTATTAGACATCCCTCTTCCTGCTCCATTCTTTTCCCATTCCAGCCACTTCTGTCTGTGTACCATAGGTATTACAACCTATAAAATAATCCCCTCCCTCTGTCATTCTAATTTATTCATCTCTTGGAGCTGGTCTATACATCTGACTAAAGAAAAGAGCCTGGTATTTCAGCAAACCAGAATCGATTATTTCCTCAGCACATTCCTGGGTGGCACATTTATCCTTGGACACTTTCAACTCCAATACAGTGGACCAAGGATGAGCATCTATGGGCTGGGCTTCTCACAGCTGCTCATCACAAAACCACAGTCACTTCCTACAGTTCTTAAAACAAGTGCAAATTCATCCCAAGCCAATACATTAACATAAAATTAGCTCCAAAGCAGTGATGTTTCCAGGATGCAAAACCACTCAGTAAGGCTATTTCCCAACCCAGATTACATAAAATTTCACAGGGGAAAAATTCCACTGCAAATGGCCCATGGTCAAGCATCATAGAACATACAAGGAAATAATCCACCACGAACAAGAGCAAGCAGACACAAAGCATTGGGGGTACTAATAGTCTCAAACATTGAGCTAACAGAACAATCTGAAAAAGAGTATAAAATAAATGCATTTAAAATAATGGAAGATATCACAGAAGAAAATAGAAATCATAAGAAATCACCAAGAAACCATGAAAACTATGAAAGAGAGATGAAGAGACAAGAAGGCCAGAAATGGAAATGTTGAGCACATATATAAAAAGAGTTCCAGGGGAAAGAATGAAGAAAATAAGGATGCACATTATCTGGAGTATTTTTGGCTGAGAATTTTGCAGAATTAAAGAAAAATCTTAATTTTCAAAAGATTTAGCACATCGAACTTCCAAAAAGATAAGTAAAAATTAGCCCATACTCAGATACCTTATGGTAGGCATGTAAAACAATAAAGAAAAGAGAGAAACTTAAATACAACTTGAGACCAAAAAATAGGATACCTAAAAACAGATGACAATTAGACTGATGGAAAAGTCCCAACTCTATCAAGAAATGCCAGAAGACAGAGGCATGGTAACTTCAAAGTGCTGAAAAGAAATAATTATTAATTTAAAATCCTGTTTATAGCCAAGCTATCATTCAAGAACAAGGGTAAAACTGAGGTATTTTCAGGCAAAAACTTGGAGATTTTCTCACTCATTCTCCCATCTGAAAGTAGCACTAAAGGATACCCTTCAGGAAAAAGAAAATTGAATCAACAGGGAGGGTGAAATGCAGGAAGCAACAGTGAACAAAGAAACCAGTAAACTTGTGGGCACATACCAGTACTTATATTAAAGAAGCACTGACTTAAGTATAAATAACAGTTTAATAATAATTTATAGTAATGACCGCTGTAGAGAGGTTAAAGATAGGTGGAACTAAAATACTGGCCAACAATAAAATGGAAGATGGAAGAGGATGACGAGCATTAAGATATCCTAGGATTCTGATTTTGTTTTGGAGAACAGAGACATTCACGAACTTTAGAGTTTGTTAAATCATAAGGTCTTAAATTTTAAATGTAAGAGCAATGGTGAGGCATGCTCTTGGCATGTTCATGGACTGGCAGAGTCCTTGAATATAGTGAACATGATCACTTGAGATTATAGCACAAGTACATTATAGCCTAAAGAATTATGGAAGAATGTACAAATGTCACCAAGTATTATCATTAAGCATCGAGAAGATCCACAGATCTCATTATGGTGGACACTCCTCCCGCCAAGTGCCATCATGGGCACTGCTCACAAGTGTCCCCAGGCAGGTGGAGCTTGGGTCATTCCTGGCATGAAGCACAGGGGATTGCAGCAGGAGGTGAGCCACAGTTGCATACTCTTTCCTCAACAAGCCAGAGCTCAGACAGCTGCTTCACAGTTCCCCATACTTCAGTACATTCTGAGCTTCGGATGTGCTTTGGGGAGAAACAAAACAATAAAAGCCAAGGAAACTCTCTGGCAGGAGAGGGCGGCATAGCCCAGAGTGGTATCCACTGCCCCAGGAGTGTCCCCACTAACTTTGTGAGGTGCCAGCCCATTCCGTATCCCCCTGAGGCAGGGTTTGGAGGCCACTCACCGACACTGGCCAAGGTGTACTGGTAGGGCTCCGAGAGGAAGTGTGGGAGGGTGAGGATGAAGGCTCCCGCAGCCAGCAGCAGACCCCCGATGCCGATCAGCCGGGGACGGTGCACCCTGCTGCCAAAGTAGCTGACAAAGATGATGAGGATGGCATTGCTGATCTGCAAAGAGAGCAGAGGGGCAGAGTGAGACCACAGACCCTGCCCTGACCCACGCACAGCGGAGGTCTGACCACACCTCATCCAGGAAGACCGGAGAGGGAAGTCCAGTGTCAGCTCACAGTGTCAGCCTTGCCCACGGAGCCTCGCAGCGGGCCAAGCACGGCAGTTTCAGTTCTCCCTCTGTTGTCAGAAACCCTTCCGGACCACAGAAAGCTCATAGCCTAAAATCCATCCATCTTAGGACCTAACCTTTTGGGGCAAAATCCAAGGACGCCTCCAGTCCTGGCTGGCTCCTAAGAACAAAATATGATCCCTGGCCGGGCGCGGTGGCTCACGCCTGTAATCCTAGCACTTTGGGAGGCAGAGGCGGGCGGATTGCTCAAGGTCAGGAGTTCGAAACCAGCCTGAGCGAGACCCCGTCTCTACCAAAAATAGAAATAAATTAATTGACCAACTAAAAATATATATACAAAAAATTAGCCGGGCATGGTGGCGCATGCCTGTAGTCCCAGCTACTCGGGAGGCTGAGGCAGTAGGATCGCTGAGCCCCGGAGATTGAGGTTGCTGTGAGCCAGGCTGACGCCACGGCACTCACTCTAGCCTGGGCAACAAAGTGAGACTCTGTCTAAAAAAAAAAAAAAAAAAAAATATGATCCCTAATTAAACTCCCAAGTTTAGCACATTAACTGCCATGTGAGTTGTATTTAACTCACTCTAGTTTTGAGCCTGGGGCGTTGTGAAGCATATGCAACTCACATGTCTGCTCACCTTGGGAGTCTTGAGAAGTATTTTTCAAGTTGCATATAACTCATGTACAGAAAGAAAACAATAAAAAAATAAGATTTTTTTTCATTAAATTAGAAAGGATTGTTTTGTTTTAGAAGTTTCTATGATATTTTCATAATAAAACACTGTGGCCCCAAGGAAAAACTTCCTTTTTTCTAGTGTGGCAGTCAATGTGTTAATTAAGTACTAATTAAAGGACCCAAAGACTCTAGAATAACAACAAAGCAACATGCTTATCTCATTTATTCATGCAACAACCTTTATTGTACAGGTGACAAAACTGGGGCTCAGAATATTAAGTAACATGCCCAAGACCAATGAGGTTGGGAGGTGGCTTGAACCAGGCTTGCCTGACTCTACAGCACCAAGGTGTAACTACAGTGGTCTGCTTCCTCTTGAGAAGGGATTTTCTGCACTGGCAGCTCTGCTACTGCCCTGCCCCTTCCCTTCCCTGGGCCTGTTTGCACTCATGTAGAATGAGGGATGAGGACTACAGCACCCTTACATCCCTTCCCAGCTAGAAACATTGCTAACCCCATGTTCTCGGTGCTCCCTGGCAGGTGTGCTGAGTTCCACCCAGAGCCAGGGAAGGGAACTGAAGGCTCCGGCTTGGGGGAAGGGTCTTCAATGGTAAAGGCGGTATTGGCATGTTCTGACCATCCAAAGCAGCGTCCTCTCCCCAGAACACAGTTCACCTGGACTGGAGGAGCCCTGTAAGTCCACAGCATCACCCTGCCCTGTCCACACCCCATCTCCTTCTGGCTGGGGAAACGGGTGCTCCTGGCTCAGGAAACAGGGTCTAGAGCCTCAAGTACATGGCTGTCGCCAAGGTCACCAGTGACCTCCTCATTGCCAAATCCACAGCCAAGGCTCAGTTCTCTTCTTACCTCTCAGCACCACTGATCTAGCTGCCCACTTCTTTCTTCCTGAAACACTCCTTCCCCTGAGTTCCCAGGACACCACCCTTTCCCACTTCCTTCCCCTGGCTGCTCCTTCTCAGTCTCCTTGGCTGGCTCCTCCTCATCTCCCTGAACTCCCAGCCTTGGGCCCAGAGCTCTGTCCCTGCATTCTCAGCTCCTATCAGGGTGAGCTGGTCCAGTCCCTCCTGTGGCTTTGCATGCTTTGTGTGTGCTTCTGATTCCCAAGCTCAGCACATCCGAGCTCTCACTTCTCTTCCTCCCCCCAAAACCCAGACCATCCTCCCTGTCTCCCTCATTTCAGTAATTGGCACCTCCATCTTCTCCGTGGCTCAAGCAGAACCCCTGAACGTCATCCTTGACTTCCCCACCTCACATCCACTCCATCGGCAAATCCCACCGACTGGACTTCAGTAGCCACCCAGAAGCCAGCGACTCCTCGCCTCCTGTCCTGCCTGTATTCCTGCAGTGGCCTCCTAACTGTCCCTCTGCCTCCACCCTTGCCCTGCTGCAAGGGCTCCCCTCTGGTAAAAGGCAGAGTCTGTCCCAGAGCCTCAGGGGCTGCCTTGCCTGCCCTCCCTGGTCCACTCTGCTCCCTCTCCCTCCCTCCAGCCAGCTGCCCCAGCTGTTCTACAAACACACCCCAGGCATGCCCTGCCCTGGCCTTTGTACCTGCTGCTCCTATCCTATTGTCCTCAGGGCTTCCTTCTTATCTAATTGATTTCAGGGCTCAGATGGAAACTTTTCATTAAAGCCTTTCTCTTATCTCCCCCAGGCCCAACTCTTGGGCCTGCATACCCTTTCCCCTACACCACTCTATCTTCACCATCATCTGACCTACCTTATGTTTTATTTCTATAAATAAGTATCATATTTATCCTTAGACTGATATGTGAGCAGAGATGTTTGTCAGCTCATTCCTGTCTCCCCAGTACCTAGAACAGTGCCTGACACATACTTGGTGCTCATCAGTATCTGTTGAACAAATGAATGAATGAAAGAGTAAGCAGCTGGCTTTTTTAAGACACAGCTACCCGGGAGCCCCCCTCCAGCATGCCCAGAGAAAGGGGGAGTGAAGGGGTACAAGGACAGCCCCAGCTAGGCAGGGAGTTGCTCCAGCCCCTGCCAGACATAGTTCTAGGACATTCTGAAACCTGTATCTGGAAAGAGAGCTTTATTCTCATGCTTCATAGATTTCATTTATTTCCTTCTGTTTCCCATAGTTTCTCATGAGATGACTGTAAATGTCAGATGCTATCAGCTATGCTGACAGAGGCTGACTTTAAAAGGTCTGGGTGAGGGATGGTGGAGGGCCCAGAGGGCAGTTTAGGGAGGAGGGGTGGGGGTGCCTGGGCCCCACCCATCTGGAGAGGCCCTTCGCGCTCTCCTGGGGCCCGGGCTGTGGGAAGCTGGACCTCCACAGGTGTTATGGCTGATGCTGGCTTAAGACCTTGTTCTCAGACTTTTCTTCAGCCATAGAGTCCCTTTGAAAAGTTTATTTTTCCCTAGTATAAAACAAACCCCCAAAAATGCAGCTGTTCTGTCTGAGAAGAGGACCTCAGGCCTCAGCCCCTAAACAGCCCCTAAAACAGCTCTGTGGACTTGCTGTGAGATCCTTTGAAAGCGGTGACAAAGCGTATCTGTAACACGTCCCTGCCCTTTAAGGTCGAAGCCAAAGGGGCCCAGGGAACAGTGGGAGGCACTGAGGACAGGAAGCCTCCAGGCTCTCCTGACTCTGTGCTGCACCCTGGTCTTTTGCAGTGGACAACAGAAGCTGTGGCCCCACAGGGCCAAGATAACCAAGTTCCCCTCCTGCGCTGGCCTTTTATCCCAGCCTGTGTCTCCCCCTCACCTCACCTGCAGGTCCCTGGGGGCCTCTGTGAGGTCGTGAGGCTCACGTCCCCTGGAGGCCCGCTACACACACAGGTCGTGTGGTCAGGGGAGTGAACTATCTGATCGTGTTTGCCTCCAATCACGCCCACAGGCATGATCTAAAGTCAGATGTTGAGAAGTTCATCTGAGATTGGAAAGGAGAAGATTCAGTGCATGAGTTATCTTTATTTTTGATTGAACTCTAGCTCTGGGGAAGTATTATGCCCTTTCATGGCCAAATCCACCTCTAGTCTTAAACAAACCCTGCTACATGCCCCAGCTGGCTACCCCCTGCTCCTCGGAGCGTCCCATTATTCCCGAGCCCACATTTTTGTTTCAAACATAGGGACATCAAGAATGAAAACGTAACCATGGAGATCATGGATGTGGCTACCACCTGGGCTGAGGTGGAAGAGAGCGTTTTCTCTGCACGCCGGCTCTGGTTTTGATCAGCAGAGGAGCCTAGAACATTGTGCTGAGGATTCGGAGGCTGCGTGTGGACTCAGCAGGAAAGGACTGTAGGTGATTAGTGACACCTGCCAGGGCCATGGAACAGGACTGTGGGGACACAAATGTCAGAGGTTTGTTTTCCCTGATGAGTCATGAGTGAAGACAACATGTGCCAGGGGCATTATCAAAGTCACGGGCCAGCGTGTAGGAGGGCGCATTCTGCGTGACTGCAGGACAGGGACACCAGGTCCCGCAGCCTACATGGTGAGGCAGACGCCAGCACCAGGCATCATCAGGAAGCTCAGGACAGACATACAAGCAGACAGACAGAGGCACACGCATACACACACACACACACACACACACACACACGGACGCACATGCATGCAGGGAAAACAGTGAAGGCACACACATGGGCCTGGGAGTTCACAGGGGGAGTTCGGAGGCCCTTCAGCCCAGCAGGGACCACTCAGACAGGCTGCAGGACCATGTGTGTAAATGTGCAGGCATGTCACGTGTGCGGGGAGCAGCCCGTGGTGGAGAGCACACGCAGAGAGAGGCACCAACGGAGACTTCAGCGAGGAGTGTGGAGCATGTGAGACTGGGCGGACAAGGGACTGGAGGTGCGGCAGCGAGGCCAGCTGTGGACTCACAGAGGAGGCCTTAGCAGGTGGCCATCAGACAGACCCAGGCTCAGACGCTGGCTGTGCTGAGCACATGACATGGGCCAACCTGGGACAAAGCACTCAGGCTTTCTGACGCAGGTTTCCTCTTCTGGAAAAGTGACTACAAAAAGAGCCTGCCACCTAGGATGGCTGAGGGGTGGGCAAAGAGCGGAGGGCCCTGGGGGTGCTGTTGTGAGGGCCACCAAGGGCGGGGGAGGAGTGAAGGGCAAAGCCACCTTCCCCTAGGAGCAGACTGGGCAGGGGAGACTGAAGGGTGAAGGCTAGGGTAGGAGACACCTGCCTTATTCTACAGCCACGTCTTGGCCTGAATCTGCAGAGGGACAGGGGCGGGGGTGGTCTCTGAGTCACTGCCCGACCTGAATTTCACTGAGTCGAGGGGAGAGCCCATCATGCTCCAGAGGAGTGACTGGGCTGGGGGAAGGGAGGCCACTGCCTCCATCCAGGAGGAGCAGGAGGGAGAGACAGGAGACAAGCCAGGCCGGGCGCCCCCTTCCATCCTGCGTGTGAAGGAAGGGCCCTGCTGCTGCCCTCACTCTCCCCCAGCTTCCAGCAGCTCCTAGCAGGCCCTGACCCCCAACCTCTGACCTCCGACCTCAGGCTTCTTGGTCCATCCTATCTTCTTTGAACTCTGATTTGTGGTCACCAAGGGATAAGAAAATGTTCAGAGGTCACAGGTTTGGGAGTCAGGGCCATTGAGTAGCTCTGGCCCCTGTGACCCATAAGACAGGGCATGCCTGGCCCGGGGCTGCTTCCCCACCCACACCCCTGGGGCTCATCCTCCCTGGACTAGGGATGGGACAGAGGGCACACAAGCTCTCTGGGTGCCACCGAACTCAATCAGGGGCACAGAGCTCAGGGGCAGATGGCGCTGCACGCCTGGGGCAAGCCACTTGTACTTCCAAGCCGGGATCCCCATCCCTGACACGAGCATGAGCAGAGAATCGCTCGCAGGCTGCCGTGAGAAGCCCCGAGGTCAGGAGTGGGCAGCTCTCAGCTCAGCACCCGGCGCAAGTCAGGCCTCAGGAAATGTGGCTGCTCTCACCATGCCCATGGGATCTTCGCTGGCTCCCTGGCCCCTTGCGCCCCAGTGCACATCCCAGCCCCTGTGCCTCTGCGTCTCCTGCATCCCGTGGCCAGGGTGATGCACAAGTGGGGCCCATAGACCAGCACCTCCTGCTCACCTCGTTCAGGCTGGAAATGAGGCCCGAGGAGGAACTGGAGAGGCCGAAGCGCTTCTCGATGGTGGTGAGGCTGCTCTTGAAGTAGGAGCTGTACAGGAGCTGGCAGAGCTGCAGGAGGCCTTGGCAGAGCACGAACGCCTGGGGGGACAGAGACAGCCCGTGAGGCCTCTGGACAAGGAGCCCTGGAGCCCCCAGCCTTCCAGCAGCTGGGCCTGTTCCCTCACCTGGTGCCTGGGGCACTTACTTCATAGTCTGGAGGGTGGATGTCATCACGTACGCTGCCGTTCCACCCCCTCGGGGAAGAAAGCATTAACGGGTTCCTCCATCATTGCATTGTTATCGCTGGTACCATAAATGGCCCTGTAAAACCACCGTCATTTTCTTACAGGGCTGGAAAGTCACCCTGAGGGAAGGCCGCACCTGGGCCGAGCACTGTGGGTCTTCCCTAATGGCACACAGCGCACAAGCCCCAGGTCACCTCTCTCCACTCACAGCTCATCCTCCGTCCCGACACAGCCTCCAAGGCCCACCTCTGATGTCTCCAATAAGGCAGCACGATGTGGCCCCTAAACCACCTGGTTTGAATGGATGTCCCCATTCATGTCCTCACCAAGCTTGTTGTCACCTCTTATCAGGGTGTCTGTGACTGTGCTGGACGGATGGTCATGAACTTGAGAAAGGGGCCCAGGCCATTTGTCTCTCTCTCTCTCCCCATGCCCTGCGTGCCTTGTCCTGCGAGTACTGAGTAAACGTGAGCTCAAGGTTGATGGGGACACACACATCAGCGAGGGCGGGAGAGGGGTTTGGTGGGAGAGAGGTTTGGTGGGAGAGGGGTTTGGTGGTGTCCTTCGTTGGCTCCAGGCTGGGCTCTGTGCCTTCCCAGGTCCTCAGTTGTTGGGCCAGGCCCAAAGAGGCTCCTGGCTAGGAGCCCCACCCCTAAACATCCCCTGGAAGGTGTCCTTGTGGGTCATGCTTTTCCTCCAGGGAAGGGTGGGGTGCCGTTACATTCACAGTCTGCCAAAGTTCTTCCCTTAATTGAAGGGCTGGCATCTCAGGAGAGCAGCAGGGGCTCCACCTCCATTTCCATTTCCTTCCCAAGCTAAGCCTACCTGCTCCACAGGGGCCCTAGCTCTGACTGTGGGGTCTCCCACCTGCAGGACAGAGCTTTTGTGAGGCCAGCCTGGGGCTCCCAACAGAGCCCAGAACGCCCTGCCTATCCGCATGCCCCTGCTCACAGCCTCCAGATCTGAGGAGGTCCCTGCACCCATGAAACCAGACACCTCTCCCAACTGCCAGCTGCCCCTGAGCCTGTGTGGCCACCTGAGTCCTCACTGGTGGCAGAAGGAAGCCTGACTGCCTGGGGCAGGAGCGGCATTCCACCCCTGCCTGCCCAGAGAGCCTCCATGGGGCTTTGTTTCATAAATTGGGATTCTTCTTAATATTTTGTGATAAAGGTATTTTTGAAAATGATCTCATCCTACTCTTTCACAAATGAGGAAACTGAGGTCCAGAGAGGGTGAACCCCAGAGCCTGGCACAGTGCCCTGCACTTTGTAGTGGGCACTTTGGGGCTTAGGTGCCAGTCACTTTACCTCCTAGAGTAGACTAGGCCTGGGCTGCTCACGTGGGCTACCTCCGTGGGTCTTAACTCAGCTTTGCTTCAAAACCACATGGATGGAGGTATCTGAAATACAGGGGTGAGGCCAAGCCCAGACACACTGAGTCAGTCAGTGGGGGGTGAGGCCCCAAATGTGTTGTTTGGGAAAGTCCCACCAGCAGAATCTGGTGGATGACACGGGTTGCAATTACTGGACTAGAGGACATGTCCTGGGTCTGACCCTCTGTGAAGGATTTGAAAAACAAAAGCAAAGCAACCACATAAATCCCTTAGCCAGAAGGGGTTGCCCCCATGAGGTGGCAGGACCGGCAAGAGCCACAGCACAGGCTGCTGGAAGCAGCACAGGTGGTGATGGGATTTGTCAAAGTCCGCTCTTCCTCCTCGGACACAGGCCACCAAAGCACCCTCGAGCCCAGAGTTCCAGGCCAGACTCAGGGAGGGGCAGTGTCATTTTCTCTGATTTTGCCAGATTCTCCTCCTCCCACCAATCCCTAGGGACCAATGCCCCAAACTCTCTAGACCCTTTCTCTGGACACACACCCATTCTGCACATGGGCATGGGCAGTCCCATTGGCCCGCAGGAGGGAGGCAGCCAAATCTCAGCTCCTCATCCAGAACTTTCCATTATCTGCTGGGCCTGTCCACACGGACACTCTCAGATCCCTCAGACTCACTTCCCAGATAGGACTCACTGTCTTCCCCAGGAGCCCCTCCTCTTTTTCCTTCATTCCCTATCACCTCCACTCTGTTTCTGAAGCCAGGAACGGAGAATCCTGCGGGACGCCCCTCCTCCTCACCCCCTGGCATTTGCCCCATCACGGGGCCCTGTGGTCTCTTCTTGGCATCTCCCACCTTTGACCCCCTCCTCTCCTCCCCAGGGGTATGGCCTGGCTCAGGCCCGTACCATCTCTCCCCGATTACTGCAGCAGCCTCTCCCAGGCCTCCCATCTGCCTCTCCAAACCTTCCGCCACACCATCCCATGGGGAGCCTTCTCAGGCACAAGTGTGAGCAGCTCATGCCCAAAGTGACACCCCCTATAAGGTAAAAACCAATGCCTAGTGTGATACCGAGCACTCTACAGGTGCTGGAGCCTGCCTGCCCCTGCTGGGGCTAATCATATTTTACAAAGATGGCCACACCAATCTCTCCCGTCCACATACACCTCTTACATGTGACAATGACTCTCTACCGGGAGGTGAGGTGGGGTCTGTGTTCTCTTCCCCTGAATATGGGCCCATCTTAGTTACTTGCGAGGAGAATGAAGCAGAAATGATGCAATGTGACTGCCGAGGCCAGCTCTAAAAGCAGGTGGAGAGTCTTCCTGGCTGTTCCTTTCTTGAGACCTTTAGAACCCAGACATCACACTGTAAGGAAGCCCAGTCACCTTTCTCAGCCAATGTTTCAGCTCTCAGCCAGCGCCAGCTGCCAGACATGTCGCTGAGCGAGCCTTCAGATGGTTCTAGTCCCAGGCTATGATGCCAGGCAGAGCAGAAATGAGCTATCTCCAACGAGCCCTACACAGATGGCAGATTTGTCAGCAAACTCAATGTGGTCATTATTTTAAGCACAAAGTTTGGGGTTGCTTTGGTTTGTCTCATCAGATAGCTGCTGTAACAACTGCTGCCACACAGCTTGTCATTCAAACTCCATGAAGGCCATACCCTAAGAGTCCCCCAGCTCACGCGTCTCCGTGCCTTTGCTCACAATCTTCCCCTTCTTTGTCCGGATGACTCCCCCTGCCCTTCAGGAGCACTCTTGCCCAGCACAAGGCTCAGTTGTGTGTCTAGTTCAAGGTCATTTCCAAACCTCCCAGCACCCTGTGTGGCTTCTGCACAGAGGCCTCTCAAAGACTGACACACAGCTGGGCGCAAGAGTAGCATCCAGCCACTCAGCGGAGGCTGGACAGAGGCCAGGCTGGGGCAGTGAGCATGTGGGGAGGGACAGGACCAGGGGCTCCTGCACAGGCTGAGTTGACAGGGCTGTCACTGATGCAGAGCAGAAGAAGAGAGGGGCTGTGTCCGCAGCCCAGGAGCCAGAGAGGCAGCAAAGCCATGGGTGGAGACAGGGGCTCAGGAGAGGGAGGACAGTGAGCTCAGTTTGGGAGCAATTACGTTTCTAAGCATTAAGCTCAGGAAAGACCAGTTTCTCTCTCTATCCAAATTAGTAACGAATTAACAGGAGTGACTAATCACTACCAACCTCCCCAGCTGTCTCATGAGAGGAAGATGGGGAGGGCGGGAGAGAAAATCTGTCTCAGATCTTTTCCTGAAAGTTATGCCTTTAGGTATGAAGTCCCCTGTTTTCTTCCCCCAGCTACTAGGCAGGAGACTCCAGCCCCTCCTGGCTGGCTCCTTCCACATCCTCGCCCCCTCACAGAGCCGCCCTCACTGCCAGCTGCTGGCCCTGGCAACACTGTCAGGTCTGGGAGCCTCGTGGGGGCCCTGGCAGAAGCACTGGCATATATCTGGGCCACTGGGTTCCAGTGCGTATGGCAGGTTGAGAAGAATCAGATCTGTGGATGCAGGGGAGGGAAGGGCAGGGAGGAAATGCCAGGGAAGAAGAAAGAAGTCGATGGGTGGTTCTGGTAAGGCCACTCAGGGTCACAGCCATCTGGCCCCACATACCGCACTTATGTGGATGGGACCCTGGGACCATGACCCAGGCTGCTCGAACGTACCAAGTCCCACTACATGGCCAGCATCAGACAAGCAAGAAACAGATGGAACAGAAACCCACCCTAGAGGAGGACACAGATTTAAGAGTATAGTTGGATGGATTGGTGGGAGTAGGAAAAGGTTTGCTAGTTGGGTTGCAACCTGCCATCCCCCATCATTTAAGCATTGTAGCGTTATGGTGTTTGATGACTTGGGTATTGGAGTCAAACAGCCTAGATTCAGATCCTATCTATAAGGAATGGCGTGACCTTGGGCTACTGATTTGATCTCTCTGAGTGGCTGTTTCCCCCAGTAGTAAATGGGAGCTATGAGGCCACCTGAGATGTGAGGATGACAGCAGAGATGTATTTGTGGATATTGGCACCTTCCTGGCCCACAGTGAGAGCTCCAGGGGGCCATTCAATAAGTTGAAGCTTCCTCCACTCCCTCCTCTTGCCCCTCAAGTAATTTAACTTCTCTATGGCTTTCAATTCCCCGTGGCGTGAGAACTCTAGGACAGAGTTTCCCACCATGTGCTACACAGAACACCACTTGCTTGAGATGCTCCAAGCCAGAAGGATTCCCTGGAGAAAAAGTTTGGAAAATATTACGTACTACAGTCCTCTCTCATGAATATTTGCAGTCATATTAGCATAATAAAGGTTCTAAGAAGTCTTTCAGTAAAGACTCCCTTAACTGTGCTTAACCCAACTGTCCCCACACTTCTTTTTCTTAAGACAGAGTCTCCATCTGTCACCCAGGCTAGAGTGCAATGGCATTACCCTAGCTCACAGCAACCTCAAACTCCTAGGCTTAAGTGATCCTCCTGCCTCAGCCTCCTGAGTAGCTGGGAATACAGGTGCATG